CTTTAAAAAGTTGTACTTATGCATAATTTACTTGTAATCTTAAATTTTAAGTAATATGCATTAATAAACAATACTTCCTGCATAAAAAATTGTTTTTAAGAGTTTTTGTCAAATGTTTTATAATATAGTATAAATAGTATAGATTATGTATTTTTAATAAAACAATAATGATTTTATTTTTGAATAAAATATAAATTTGAAGATAATATAAAAATATAAATATATATATATATATCAATGTTAATGTCACATCAATTATTTAAAAGTTTTTATTTTTTATGTAATTTTTTTAATTTATTTTTTATTATAATTTAATTTAAGTTTAATAATAAAATAATTTATTTTTGGTTTAATAATATAACATTTTATAAAGATAATAATTAAGTATTATGTTAGAACTCAATAATTATTCTAATTATATTTTAGATTTTTTATATTTCAAATAAAATGTTTATCTTGTATTTGATTATGTTTATCTGCAATTAGTTACACGAATTCAGATATGGAGCTTTAATAAGTAACACACAATCTACTTGTAATCTTGAGTTTTAAGTAATATGCATTAATAAACAGTACTTTACGTATAAAAAATAGTTTTTAAGAGTTTTTGTCAAATGCTTTATAATATAGTATAAATTATTTTTTTAATTTAATTTAAGTTTCATAATGAAATAATTTATTTTTGGTTTAATAATATAACATTTTGTAAAGATAATAATTAAGTATTTTGTTAGAACTCAATTATTATCCTAATTATATTTTAGATTTTTTATATTTAAAATGAGATGTTTATCCTGTATTAGATTGTGTTTATCTGCAGTTAGTTACACGAATCAAGTTATGGGATGAAATCGGATAGGGATGAAATCGGATAGGAATGAGCGGGTTTAAGAGTTTAAGAGTTTAAGAGTTTTTAAGAGTTTTAGCCAAATGTATTATAATATAGTATAGATAGGTTGGGTTGAGTTGAATTTTTCGACCTGTTTTCAACTCATTTAAAATATTATTTTATTTTATTCTTAATATTATATATAATATTCTAATTTTTAATTTGGTTTTATTCTTAATTAAAAATTCTACCGTCGTGAGATGAAACCCTAAATTCCGATCGTCTTCATTACTCTTAATCATCATGAAACTCTAGAAAAATATTTTAGTCTATTACTCCATTATCGGCTTCAAAGTCCAATCCAACTTATTTTGAGCAATATATTTGTTATGGTTGTGTTTTATTCAAACTTTGAACAATTTGTTTGTATTTGTGGTTGTGTTTTATTCAGAAAAATCAAACAGTCTAGTCCTTTTTTTATTTAAAATTTTAAAATTAAATGGGTCAACCCAAATTCAACTAATTTATTTAACATGTTGGGTTATGAAAATCGTAAACATGTCAACCCGCTCTCAACCCCATTTAGGTAACAAGTTAGGTTGGGTTAAAAAATCACAACCCATTTAATTGGGTTGGGTTGGGATTTTTAACCTATTTAATAAATGGGTTAAACTCGAACCCAACCCAACCTGACCCATTGCCACCCTAGATATGGTTGATCAGTATTTGAATTTAAATTTTATTTTTGGTTTGAAAGAATCTTTTGATTTTGAAATATGGGTAAGAACATGGGATTTAGAAATCTCATGAGAGTCTTGAAGGATTTTATATGATTTGTTTATCCTTTGAATTATTTTTTGAACTGTATATGATTCAATTAATTAATTTATTATTTAGGGGTTGTTTACCAAATTTTCTATTAGTTTATGTATGGATAAATATGTCTATCTGTATAAAAAGTGTGTTCTTGTTTTTTTTTTCTTTCTGAATCAACAGACTGAATGACATCACTATTTTACTCTTCAATATGAATTGAATACTGTTTAATAAATTATTGTTTATTTTAAAACTTGATGGTATTTATGTATGAGAAAAATTATTTTAGCATGAAAACATAATACTATAAATTCATTAATTATAATTCTAACACATAATTTCACCCAAATTCTTTTAAGCATAATAAAATCAAAACACACATCTTTTTAGCACAATAAAACCAAAATTCAGCAATGAAAAACCCGTTAATGGTTGATACAACTCCATTCGGTTGAAAGTGACAGCCTCGTTTGTTCTCATCCACCAACTAGTCCTAAGGCCTTTGGTGATTAGGGTTTTTTCCTTTCACAACCCGACTCAAAGTTCAAAGAAAGATGAGGTCGAGATTATGATTTAAGAAGTCAAGCCTCGATAATTTGAATTTGGCACCTAGTTGAAAGGCATAAACTTTAAATAGTCAACAAAGTTGATCAAAGAACACGAACTTAAACGCATGTCCAAAAATGGTCCATACAAACCCTAAAATAGCAAAACTTGACAAACCTCGGATCTACATCGAAAACCCATATGGCAAAACCCTAGGGAAATCAACAAGCAAACGAGTATGTTTAAGATGAACCCAAAAAAGAGAGTGACGAGAGAGAAAGACAGATTTATGAATGCATGTGGAGCACGATGACGAACGAGAGACCAGATGAGAATTGAAGAAGCATAGTTTTTTCAAAGGGCAGAGGAGATCATTTGACAAATGATCTCAATGGGCTGACCGAATCAGTTAATTGTATTTTCATCAAGCCACAAGTAAACACCACAATTTGGATATACGAACAAGTCCTATAAGCCTTCAAGACTGTCAAGTAAAAAAAGTCCCTTAGCTTGTCAACTACGTATTAACTAATTAATTCCTTATTAAAGAAAATGTATTAGGGGCCGTTTACCAAACACTTACCCGGTAAGCGCTTACCAATAAAATTTAACATTACCACTTACTTACCGGGGAAGACTTTTGTCCACCAAAACGGCATTGTATGCAACAATTTACCCAGTAAACGCTTACCATGATAAGAGTTGTTGCACTCACCTACCAGATAAGACTCTCAGTTCTTGTCTCTCTCTTACCGGGTAAGATTTTTGGTCCTTACCATTTTCATCCGGTGAGGTAATGTTACTTGGTAAGACGCTTACCCGGGTAAGCGTTTGGTAAACGGCCCCTTAAAGTGTATGACCTTTCGTGGTTCAAGTTGGCAATAATAATAAATCTCGTTTATTATTATAAAAAATAATAATGGTATACATCGTTACTCAAATCACATTATTAGTGATTTAATCAAACATTAAGAGGCTGTTTACTAAACACTTACTTGGTAAGTGTTTAACGCATAAATTTCCTCATCGGATGAACATGAGAAGTGGTAGGAATCTTACCGGGTAAGAGCAATGAGAAGAATGAAGAGTCTTACCCGGTAAGTGGGGATGACGACTCTTACCCAGGTAAGTGCTTGCCCAGTAAATTATTGCATCATATATCTTTTGATGTACTAAAATCTTACGCATCAAAATAAATTATAGTGTCGACTCATATTGATAAGCGCTTACCGGGTAAGCATTTGAGTAAACGGCCCCTAAGTCTAATGGTCACATCAATGGTATATTGTGTTCGTTTCTCCTATATGTCTGAATTGTAATAAGACACAAGTTCTATTTTTTTCGTTATGCTCAATATGTAGGTGTTCGAGCCAGCTTGCATACACCCCGACTAATCACATGAACCCTGAGAAACATTCATAACCCTTTTCATGACCCATTCATTTCGTCTTCCATACTATATACAAAAAAATGGTAACCATTTCATACAAAATTTCCGGAAAAAACAAACTAACAAACTTTCTTTAAAAAACATTATTAAAACAAAACCCTTATTCGATCTATACGATTACCGAACCGAATTACCCAAAACAGAATAACCCTTCGATTATCAGTTTGTTTTAAAATGTTGAAAACCCAAAACCAAATAAACCAATCGAATAAATGTGTCATAAAATAAAAGATGTTAAATAGTTCAAATGTTGTTTACAATGATTCATAGTATCATTAAACTAAGAAGGTGTTTGAAATTGCTTATAAAAACAACCTATTGTCTTATTCTAGTGTGACACCGATAATAAACATTTTTCAATGTTTGGATAAACAACTTATACCGGTGCCAAACCGGTAATAAGAAGTTTTTGAAAAAGTTAAATCCTTTTAAGTTATGATAAGTTGATAAGTGTTTTTATAAAAAAATTAAGTTGTTTCAAATAAGCAATCTCAAACACCCCTAAATAGATTTGATGATAAAATAGGTTGTTGTTGTATTTAATTTTTAAAAGAGATGTTTTGGGTTAAACCGTTAAAGGAAATGAAACATGTGAGTTAAATGGGCCTCAATTAACAGCCCAGAATGAAATCACTAATCTCATTATTGGGCCTATTGGGCTGTAAATGGATCCACAATCCGGGTCGGTTACTCCGTACAGCAACCCAAAACATTTAACCGTAGAAATATTGTCGGTAGATTGGGTATCGGACGGATTATTTGTCGGTGCAACGGGAGAAGCACCGTGACAATATTCAAATAATAATATAATTTTTTGGATAAAAAAATAATTTAATAAAATAGAAATTGTCTCATTATTATTTCGGTATTTAACATATTTGTAATAAAATATCTTTTTAAATATAAAATTAATCTCTAATAATTGGATATAAAATTACTTTTTTATTTTGAACCAAAATAATATTAAATTTATTTTATTTTATAAACAAATTGATTTCTGATATGAAAATATTACATATATTTTGTATGGTTCTCGTATATGCATTCGTTGCTTGCCTTTTCACATATTCTGTAGTATGAGAGGTTTTCGGACTTGTATCTTTTTCAAAGAAAACCGAGCGTTCAGTCGATTTACCCTTCGATATAAATACAACTCTCTGTATACCTATCCAAAAATATTACATATATACCGTACTACGAGATTAACGTTGTATGAGACACAAGGGTAGTATCTTATTGGTTTGAGCTTGGCTCCAAAGATCAAAAGTAACAGGAGGTCCCAAGTTCAAATCCAAGAAAAAATAAAAATCCCCTTGTGACCACGGAGATTCAAACACGGTGACTCCGGCCTATCTGCAAAGCAGGTGGTCGCCGTGGGATTAGTCGGCTCGCATAACAGATTGGATATCCAGGTTAATAAAAAAAATGGAGAATTAATAGAAAGAAAAGGATGCAACTCATGTAAATACTTATATACTAAAATTAATTGAAATATTAAAATGAAAAGACAATATATGTGCAAGATCACATATATAAAAAATTAACTATAATATATATTCTATTAAATATTAATTTTTTTTTAATTCTAGTATTGAGAAAAGGCCCTTTCACATGGACATTTTTGAGCCATTCATTTCTTGATTCTCTCCTACCAAACATAAGATTTTGATGAGGTCTTTCGTTATCCATCATTAATGATTATTTTGGACGTTATCGATGCTCGACTTTTTCAGGTTATAACAAGACTGTTTCAGACGACGGATTCTTATTGGTAGACCTTTCGGAAAGTCCAGGTATGGATAAGCAAAAGCTTGATCTGATTCCACCAATTTCCACTCGTATTTCAGGACCAAATGATGAATAAATATCGCCATCTCTAGTTTAGCCAACTCTGATCCGGTACATAATCGAGGTCCTCCGCCAAATGGCATGAAGTTATTGGGAGAAGGCATCGTCGCATTGCTGGAGGACTTCCCACAAGCATTCTGTCAAAAAAATAGACACACGTTCATTTATTTACATCTACACATTTAACTACCAGATAATTTATTCAGATAATTTAATAATCAATATAAAACAATTTTTTTTGGACTCTTTTAGGTTTCTATTTTAATTTCTAGAATTATAATTTTAATAAAATATATAAAAAAACATGGTTATATTTAATAAAATAAGGGATATTAAAAATGGTGTGATTGGAGGAGAATGAATACACGTGCAGATGCACGTGCAAGCACACATCCGTATGGAAGAAAAAGAGCATTTTTTTAATGATCGCCTTCCCCCCACACGCACGGGAGCTGCAGTTGGAAGTGGGCCAATCATCATCAACATTCCTTATTGGGCCCCACGCGCCGTACACGTGCGACCAATACTAGGCCTGCTTATTTTGGGCCCCTATCATTATACGTCCATACCTTGACTTCCTTCTTTTGGGCCCACCTCACTTTCCTTTCGGCTCCTTTCTTCAAGTGCCCTCTTCTTTTTTTACTTACCAATTATTATTATTATTTACATCATTTATTATTTAAATTCAATAAAATTATATTTATATTATTCAAAGTAATTAATAAAAGAAATCATTTTGACATGTTTACCTGATAAAATTACCAGTATTATTATGTCTCTTATCAGATAAAATTATCAGTCTTTGTCACAATAATATAGATAATAATTGATAAACGTTTAAGAAACAGCTTGTTAAATTAATTGATATCTAGCATTTATTTTATTTAAAAAAGACAGGTTTAATTCAATATTATCTAAATTATAATATTTATATTCTGAAAGTAAGGGGATGTTTGAGATTGATTATAAAAACAACTTATTGACTTATTCCGGTGTGACACCGATAATAACACTTTTGAATGTTTGGATAAACAACTTATACCGGTGCCAAACCGGTAATAAGGAGTTTTTAAGAAGTTAAACTCTTCTAGCTTATAAGTTGATAAATATTTTTATAGAAAATTATAAATTGTTTCAAATAAACAACCCCAAACACCCTTAAATTAGTTATTTGTGTCCATTGCCATAACTACTTATTATAGTCCACATGATTTTATATATTTAACACATTATTTTTGTTTTTTTATATAAGTTTCTAAAATGTTGTTTGTCTAAGTTGATTGTGACTTGAAAAGTGACAACTTTTTTGAATTTTGGCAACAAGTGATATGAATAGAAGTTGAGGGGCCAAATCTGAACATTTATCCTCATATAATTAGAAATAATGAAATGTCTAATTATGACAAGTTGACACCTTAATAATTTGATAAATAGATTACAAGATCTATTATTTTTTGAATTATAATATTTTTAATTACATGCTTAAATAAAATATTAAATAATTTATAATATAAAATATAAAATGCTTATAGTTATATTAATTATAGTATTTTTGTTTGACTTCAATTAAATTAATTAATATAAAATGGGTTATTTAGGATATTTATAATTTATTTAAATATATAATTAAAAAAAAACTTGACAAATAAAACATTAAGCATATTTATAATTTATTACTTAAATATATAATTAAAAAAAATATTCTTAGATTTTGATATTTCAGTGGTAGGACAAAACTGTGTCCTATCAGTATAAATACTATAATTATGAACAAACGTCAAACTTTATTTTGGTTACATATCATACCGACATTAACATTTAATAACACTGTCCCCCCTGAAATTGCATGATTAATTCGAAAATCTTTGTACAATTTTTCCATAAATATCTTGATCTTGACAAACTCGTTTCAATTCAATGCAATGATAATGACGGAACCACAACCTCTGTTTTACCTAAAAAATATGTCTTTTTATGTATTGTAAAGCAGTCATGACCATTATCACCGACCGACATTTTGAGGCTTTATACCGAGACTTACATGCTTCCATATACTTCTAAGGAGCCGTTTACCAAACACTTACATAGCAAGCGCTTACCGGTGAAAGTTTACACTACCAAGTTACTTACATGGTAAGACTATAGTCCACCAAAACGGCATCGTATGCAACAATTTACCCAGTAAACACTTACCATGGTAAGAGTTGTCTCCCTTTTACCGGTTATGATTCTTGGTCTTTACCATATTCATCCGATAAGGTAACGTGACTTGATAAACGCTTCCGATATTAGAGTTATAAATGAAATATAAGAATAGTTTGAGTATGAACCTGCCATCTCCATGGATCAAAATGGTATGGTTGGTCAAAATATGCAGGATCTAAATGCACAGCTGCAATCACCGGTAGCACTTTCCACCCACATGGAATGTCATAACCTTTTTACAAAGTCAAAGTTAAAAAGTGTGGGTAAAACTTTATTTTACAAAAGTATTAGGGGTTAATTCTGTCAATATACAAAAGAATAAGGGGTTTAAGTGTAAATGAAAAGAGGAGCAACATGTTACCTTTATACCGCACATCTTTAATAGCCTTTCTATGGAGGAATCTCACCACATTCCCGAATCTTAGCGTCTCATTGATCACCTTCAATCACACAAATTTTTGTTATCATAATATAATTTAGAAAGTATTATTCGGTTCGTTTTGATTCGATCAGTCTGTCTGTACATGTTGTATTGTACTGTGTATACGTGAAGGATGTACAAATGAAAAAAACAATAGAAAAAAAAGCTTACACACTGTGTAAATTCCATCTTTTTATAGTCGTCCCAAGTCAAGTCCTTCTCGCCAGACTGCTTCTTCGCATTGACGATTTCTTCATGTTCCTCCTGAAAACCATACACAAACGGGTCTTTAGTAGGGTGTTGCTTTTTCGACATTAACATGCGTATTTCATGCATTTTATGCTATTGCTATACAAGAGTCTTTACGGGAGAGAATGAGTGGAATAAGAATCTGTTCATCCCCAATTCCGTGTCTTTTTGCTGTCCTACCAATCACGTAAGTATACGTCATTATTTTATTTTGTCTTCTCACCGAAATGATATTGTGGATTCACGTGATTGGTGGACATGAAACGATGTATTTTTATTCAAAATTTGAGAGAATTCCTATATATATATATATACATACAAGTTTGATTGTCTATATCTAGCTGATATTGAAATGCAACAGAAATCAAGAATGCGAGTGAAGTGTGGTACAAAAAGGATGGTTTGGTTAGGTTCTTACTCTAAGTTGTTGAACAGCAGTCGGACAAGCCTCCAAGAAATAAATGGCTAAGGCTATGGAAACCGAAGAGGTTTCATGGCCCGCGAAAAGCAAACTCAGTACCAAATCAAGAATTTGCTCTTTCGAGAGGGTAGAATTCTTTAACACCCATCCGAGTAAATCGTCTTCTAGTCTCTCCACATCGTCTCCATCTGACTTCCGAATCCTCTCATCCATTCGTGTTTCAATGAACTTAAGAATGATCGCTCTAGACTATCAATTTGTTCAAAACAACCAAATCAAAACCCGTATATTTTATGGGGTTTTCGTGGTTTCTTCGCATATAAAACCGCAAAAAAAAATCCAAAAAAGAAGATGGAGTTTAATCAATTACCTTTAAAGCTTTTCTGTATGCAGTCCCAGGGAAGTTTAAAGGGGCAGAAACCACACCTTTCATGAAAGTCACATATTCTTTCTTGAGTTGCTCAGTTTCTGGTTTTCCAGGGTCTAAACTCATGATATGTTTCGCCATTAAATTGAAAGTAAACTGCAAAGAAGAAATCGAACAGTCGAAATGAAAAGATTATGTCGCATAATTCGATAACAAACCATACAATTGCTTTTCTTTTGTGGGTAACCGTAGTTATCCATGTCAGTTTAAATACAGTAGTCATCGCAGCTGAACCTCCATGTCAATTCATGCATATATATATATAAAGATTATATGTATACCTTCTTGGCTTCTTCTTGGGCACAAAAAGATGAACTTTCTTGCCAAGAATCTAATACCCACAAAGTGTTTTTTTCAACTTCTCTAAAAAGTTGAGTCTTGAGTCGAGCATTGGTCAAGAAGTTGAGTGAGATTAACCTCATGTCTCTATGCATGTCGCCAACCTGAACCAACATGGACCATTTTCCAAGAATCCCACCGATACTTCTTGGATAACTGCATTCGAATAGCTTCCCTTCGTTTTGCAATATGTATCGGTTCAACCCTGGATCCACTGAAACGATCGTCGGTTCCCCAAAAAGATTCGATTTGTATATCTTCCCAAACCTACACACAAATCCCATTAACTGATTGGAAGAAAGACCAATCATATATATATATATATATACAGTCTGTTTCATGTATATGTATACAGATTCTTGAAAAACTCACTTTGATATGTGCTGTTCCATGAAAGCTCCGATGGTGGTGGCGGAGTAGGGGCGGAGGTAACCAATGGTTTCTCCGATGAAGGGCCAACCCATGTTTCCCGGCGGAAGATTGAGAGGTGAAGAATCAGTGGCTTGTGTTCTTCTCTTGATACAATTGAAGGCATGAAATAGGGTTGAGATCAGAAGAGACAGCAAGATGAAGAGCTCAAAGGCAGACATTTTCTTGCTTCAAGATACTGAAAGACACAGACACAGACACAGAGTGAGGGTGTGTTTAGTGTGTGTTTGTGGGGGGTGGATGGCAAGGGAAGTAAATGGGATGAGAGTCCACCTTTATACAAGTACATGATGCTGGCAATGTTCCATCTGATGGAAAAGGAAATTTCAACTTTTTTAGAAGATTTTTTTTATAAGGTGACTACTTTTACTTTTTGGNAGGGCAAATTGGGATAAAATCCTGTGTCTCTAACTTTTTTGTCCATCAATTAAACACATTCTTATCATTTATTTATTTCTAAAACACAGATAAAACTTTTAAAAACCATTTTTTATGTATAAAGTATTGTTTATTTATTTAAATATAAATTAAATAAATTTATATTTGATATAATAATTATATAGTTTTATATCATATATTGATGGATAACAAGAAAGTTGGGATAAAAACGAAATTTTATTCGAATAAAAATCATCTGTCTTAAATCTTATGTCCATTAATTATGTGAAAATATATCGATTAATAAATTCGTTACGTGTTTTTTTATTTAATTAATGAAAAAAAAAACATGAGGATGTGTGACCTTGTGAATTATAAGAAAACAAAAATTAGCATCGTTTTTTTGACTTTCTTTGCTCTAATATTGGTCTTCCAATACCATCTGTTAATTAAAAAATAAAATTTATAAAAAAATAATTTTTTATTGATGTATGTTACTTAAAATTCAAGATTACAAGTAGATTATGTATAATTACAACTTATTAAAGCTTTATGTTTGAATTCGTATGACTAACTGCATATAGAAATAATTAAATACATGATAAGTATCTCATTTTAATTATAAAAAAATTTAAAATATAATTTGGATAATCATTGAGTTCTAACGGGAAATATTTAGTTCTTATCTTTATAAAAAAATATTAACTTTATACCAAAAATAAATTGCTTTGTTATTAAACTTAAAAATATATATTATTAAACCAAAAGTTATATTATGTTTTTTTTTCAAATTTTTATGATATCTTGAAATTTATATTTTGTTCAAAAATAAAAACATTATCGCTTTATTAAAACCAAATAAAATCATATTCTGACATCGATAGAGATAAAGATAAAACGAAAAATTGACATCGATATGTATCTCATTGCATTGCACGAATACCTTTCTAGTATATTATTACATACTTATAATTTATCTGTTAAAAGCAAATAATAAAATATTATATTTTTCTTATAAACATTTAATTTTAGTTTATAATAATATTTATTTATTAATTTTTTTCCACAATGGAAAAAGTATAAGATAAGTTACATCCATTCAAATTTGAAGAAATTTAGAATTAAATATTTTAGAGAAAAAAATAATATTTTATTTATATATTATAATTTATTGATCATATGATATTTTGTTATATTATACAACATCTGTAATCAATTATTTATATGTTTAAATATAACTAACAACTAATCGAGAGAAGACTTATCGATTTTTTAACGACAATTTGTAAACTAAAATTGAATGAGACGAAATAACGGTTTATTGTATTGCATTACGCTTATACAATTCTAATAATATACAATATATTATTATAAATATCTATATTAATATATTTTTACTAAATAAAATATGTTTTTAATAAATATAAATATTTAAGAGCATTTTTATCATATTACTCAATAGTTTCTTAAAAAAAAAGTCAAAAGTCAAAATCTTTAAAATTACAATATTAATTATATTATAAAATTATTAATACATTTAATAAAAAGTACTTTTCTGCTAATACATTTAATAATTATCCTAAAAATTTAATTTTAATGAGTTTTGAAAAAAAAATTAGTATTTCTTTCATCTTTTTTACATTTGAAAGAACTATAAGGGTACTCACGCAATGCAGCGAGATAAATCTCCATTTATTGTTTAGTTTTTATTATTTGTCTATATCGATATAATATTATTTTATGTGGGTTTGAGAAAGCGATAATGTTTTTATTTTTGAATAAAATATAAATTTGAAGATAGTATAATTTTTTTTAAAATAAAATCGATATTAGTATTAAATTAACTATTTAATAGTTCTCGTTTTTTTGGTGTAAGTTCTTTAATTCAACTTTTTATTATAATTTAATTTAGGTCTAATAACAAAGTAATTTATTTTTGATTTAATAATATAATTTTTATTAAAGATAATAATTAAAAATTCTGTTAGAAACTCAATGATTATCTTAATTATATTTTAGATTTTTTATATTTAAAATATATGTTTATCATGTATTTGATTATATATATCTGCAATTAGTTATACGAATTTAAAAATAGAACTTTAATAAGTTGTACTTACGCAAAATCATTTGTAATCTTGAATTTTAAGTAATATGCATCAATAAACAGTACCTCATGCATACAAAATGTTTTCTAAGAGTTTTTGTCAAATGCTTTATAATATAGTATAGATATATTTGAAAGAATTAGAAAGAAATTTATAATTTTGTCAATTCTTTTTGTTTTTTTTATCGAAAACATTAGTTTTTTTTAATTATTATGTTGTTTCACTTTTTTCTTCCTTCATAACGTTGTGTTCTTGAAACCTTTTTTACGAAGAGGGAAAATAGAGGAAAATAAAAAGAACTCATTTTATTGAAACCTTTTTAAAAGAGAAAGGAAAAGAAAAATAATGACAAGTTTCCTTCCAAATGTGGGAGGAAAGGGAAGGAAGAAGATTAAACGTTTTAAAATATTATTAAAAATTACAAAACTACCCAATCTTTTATTTTAAATATTATATTTTTAAAGGGTATATTAGTAAAATGATCTTATTCCTTTCATTTCTCTCCTGTTTAAGAACATGAAAAATTATTTTCTTTATTTTTCTTTCCTTCCCTTTCGAGAACACAAATAAAAAAAACCACAAGGGTTTTGGCGTAGTGGTTGATGCTCTGTGAGATGTGGTGGAATATCTCATTTGCCTTTCGAATGTGTCTGACCTGTAATGCACATTTAAAAAAAATGAGGATTAGACAATAAGGTCTAGTGAGTAATTCATTGATAGCTGTTACATGGTGAAAATCACCAAGACATTTTTGGAAAGCCAATCTTTGGAAATCAACATATAAATAACATTTATCGTATCAAATCTCATTTTTGTCGCATTATACAGATGAATCAACCAACTCATCACATTACAAGGATGAGACCTCCCATTTCATCGCATCAAATAGATGCGATAACGCATTTTTTTCACATCATACAGATGCGATAATCCCCACTTGTCGCACCAAGTAGATGCAATAAACACACTTGTCGCATCACACTGATGCGATAACTATAATTCCTCGCACCATACTGATGTGATAACCTACTTTGTCGTATCACATTGATGTGATCACTTCAACTTATCACATCATACAGATGCTATAACACATACTCATCACATCATACAAATACGATCACAACAACTCATATGATCAAAATGTCATCTTTCACAGAACTGTTGAATATGCCACCCTTATCCAAATATATCCTGCTCCTGATTATGACACCCTTATTTCAAATTTACCTTGCTTTTGATTATGTCACCCTTATTTCAAATTTACCTTGCTCCTGATTATGTCACTCTTATTTCAAAATATACACCTCTCCTGATTATACCCCTTATTCCAGTCAATTGATAATAACGTATCAAAACCAAATTATGCTAACAAATAACACATAATCGTGTTAAAAAACACCCGAATTCGAAACCCATATGGTTTCTTATTGAAAGCATATCAAATGAAGCTTTTTAAAAATAAAAACTCACCTTGAATTAAAATTAGATGGAAAACTTTAAACCGACACAAAATTTCGTATAAGAACACAAGAATTTCTTCTTCTTTCTCTTTTGTTTGCTCGAACCAGAAACAAAATATCACCAACTTTTTCTCTTTTTCCTTCTTATCTTTTAAATTAAAGAAAAGAAAAAGAGAGACACTTTTCTTTTCTTGGTATCAATCACATATGCCAGAATAGTTTGACATCTTTTCTGAATACACTTTCGAGTTTTTAAAACAGAAATTAAGCTAGTGTGACGGTCTCGTCGATCACCGCATGTCACAATCGGTCCCTTACCAGACAGATCAATATTGTTGATCCTCTCTATCAATGATTTGATGATGATTCTTTTTATCTTACGAAGTGTACTATCTCTTTATTCAGCTTCAGCGATCATCACTGAGTCTGGTCAGTGATCGCTGAACATGTATTGTAATACTCTCAGAAACAAGTATTCTTTAGGAAGACAAAACTCACACCATAGAACTTCAGTGACATCGAAGAAAAGATGAAGATAGAGACAAGCAAGTTCATGATCTAATGCGGGTTTCAATGATAACAAACATGTTTAGACAAGTGTGAAATCTACTCAAGATTCAGCGAACACTAAAGAAACCTGAAGGTTATTCCAGTGTCAGCGATCAAATGAATCTTGTTGAACAAAATTAGTTTTTGTCTTGTCCTTCTACACACAAAGGACAAACCCATACCTCTCAAAGTAAAGTACTGTACGGAGTCACTCTATTGTCTCCAAGCATGCTTACCTACTTTGTGAAAGATTATTGTTCATATACGGCAAAAGCTTGTATATTTGGAACAAAGGACAAGCTCACCTCAAGAAGCTTGCCACGTGCTTTGTACCGTCTGACTTGCATTTAATGCAACATGTATAAATAGCTGAGAAGTTATTTATTCTCAACTACGGATATCTAGAAGAAGCAAACTGTTGCAAGAATTCTTACTTCTAGAAGATCAACTCTCTACCTAAGAGAAATGCTTCTTCCCAAGCACATGACTTCTTAACCTTTTCTTTTAGCAAGTCTTTTCTTTCTTGCTTTTTGTGTCTTGTGTGTTTCATTGATTGTTTAGATAAGTTTTGTATCTTATCTCTTTCGCAAACAATTTGTAAAATTCTGTATTGATCTTCTTTATCAATAAAGAATTTTTAAAAGTGAAAGTTGATGTGTTTATATTCACCCCT